TTCCCTACAATAAAGAAATATGTGGAAAAGATTAGGGGAACACATAGTCTGACTTAAACAAGAGAGATAAATACCTTCAAAAGGTTTCTGTCTGCTTAGGCTCTCCCAACACAATATTCCAAAGCTAAAAAAAAAAAACACCAAAATGCACAAAGAGTGAAGGACTGTTCATTAGTTTGCAATCCATATCTCTGTTCTCATTTCCAAGAGAAAGTTTGCTGGTTTAAGAGAAAGGAGTTTTTTGAGACAAAGTCTATCCAAGTCTTTCCTAATGTGATGAGAATCTTTTTTTCTACATCATTAAGTTTCAGTTTTCAACTGAACTGTTCTTATAAAATAATAAATCAGTTAGAATTAAATTTAAAAAAGTTAAATGTTAGATTAATTACAATTACATTTCAGGTTACCATCTTATCTTCATTTGCTCCTGTGGATTTCAGAACCTTCCGTTCTCCTTTATAATTTTTGTTTTGTTTCCAAGTAATTGAAATAGCAACTAAAATAGCTGCACTTTTCAGGAGGTACTGACAAGTTCATCAGTTAACCTACCAAAAACTTGATTCTGACCCACTATGTGTCTATTTCCTTCAGCAAATTTTGCTGGAGCTCTAAATGCCTTTTTCCTTTTCTAACAACCTAGGAAATATTCCAGTGATACCATAGATCTACATACATAACCCACAACTCAGTATAAATTACTGTTTGATAAAAGGCTCAATCTGCAAAATCAGAGGCAGAAGCAAGAAGGCTGCTGGAAGAGAGAGACTAGGCTATGGATGAGTCAGAAGCAAAGCAATCAAAAGGAGAAGCAGCAGGTGTAGGATATACTTATCTGCTTACTCATACATCTTGCTGTACTGCTGAATTACAATGTTTAAAAGAACTTCCTCTCCTACCTTATTTCCATATAAAAACTGAAAGTGCTTTTCCTTAAATACCGTCTAGTAAATTATTAATATAATCTGGACACACATGTAACTTACATGTACTTAAGTAACATTTCATGTGACACATACTTCTGTTTTCTCTAATGCACCAATGTCTAGACATGCACCTAACTTGTGCACCAAGTCACATCTGAACACCTAAAATTATAGAAGAATGACTTGCTGGAAGATGAATTATGCCACCTGCAAGCTCTTCCTGTGCAAAATATCTTGTGTTTGTGAACAACATCAGGTTAGTCACATCATTTATAGGCTTCCTCAAGTTTATACATTATCTGACTCATCTTAGATCCCGCCTCTTTGACGATAAAGCAGGGGTTTAAATTCATTGCATCTGTAAAGGCTGAGAGCAGGAGAGTGGTCATGCTTAAAATTTATTTATAATGCTAGTCCACAGGCTCTTTATGCCAGTTGTAAAGATGAATGTCCATACAGACAATACTTGCAATTTGAGGGTGTCTCATTTATTGAGGCAACTATGAAGCATGTAACATATCTGAACAGGACATGTGGCAATAGGTAATCTTCCTTCTTTGTATAAATCACCTTAAAAAGTATGAAGGCCTGAGTGGTTCAGTAAATTATTCCAGCAGAGATTCCATAAGACCTTAATGGGACATATTGAGAGAAATATCTTATTTTTACCTGGGCCTTATGTAGGCATCAACAGTTCTTCCTCAAACTAAAACCAACAATAGTTCACACTTAGAAACTGTGTGAATTGTTGTTTTTAGGTTTCTAAATATATAATGAAAAAGTTTTGGCAGCTATGTTACACTTTTTAAACATTTAGGTCCATTATATAAATGTTTATATAACAAACTTTGAGAACAGTTCTTAACCTTGTTGTGTTATTCACCAAATATGGGCAATTTCAAATTCACTGCTGTAATTGGTGTCATGTGGAATACTATCCTACTGTATTACGTAGATCTGCCATTTTTATTCTAGCACCTTTGAAAATAAGTATTTTGGCAGCATTGTAGAATGCAGCAAGGACTAGGTATGACCTGCCCTTAGATATCCCACTCACCTGTAAATATCCCCTTCCTGGGAAGGAAGGCCTCCTTCAAGTATTTCAGGAGGGAGATACACTAAATCCTGGCAGTTTCTCCAATTGCAGTTCTGGAAGTTTGACCTCAGTTGCTGTTTCCTGCAGTTGGTTAAGCCATAATCTGATATCTACAGAAATGGGAGAAAAAGTAAATTTTAGTAACAGTATCTCAAGTCTTGGTATTAAATGTTGACTACTAGGATAAATATATGCGACAATAGGACAATCACTGGACTTAATATTAATAGGCTAAAAGTAGAAGCTCCCACCTTGGCTCTGTACTGCATATCCAAAAGCACATTGGAAGGTTTCAGGCTGCAGTGGCACAAAGCAGGCTCGAGGCTGTGAAGGTAATGCAGCCCTGCAGCCACATCCAAAAGGATCCTTATGAGCAACGGAAATGGAAGCTCCGGGTAGAGTTGATGCTAAGTAACACAAAACATGGGTTTTGTTAGTGTGAACTTGTTACTATTCACATTTTCATCTGACAATAAATGGAACTACAATACAGCAGCTAAAGAACAGATTGCCTGTGACTACTGTCCATAATTTACATGCTGATTGTTCTCTTTTGGCTGACCTTGTAGCTAATTTTGTCACATAAAAGATGACTTCTTTTATATACCTCATGGATGAGAGAGTGGAGGGATCCATTGTTCATCCATTCAGTCACTATGCCCACCAGTCCATGGTACTGATAAATCCCAAGAGAAGGCAGGAGACGTTCAGACTCATAATGTCTGACATTTGCTATATCCTGAAGTAGTAACTTCCATTCCCTGTAAAAAAATAGCCAGAGTTAGAGGCAGATGAGCCTGAAGGGAATTTCAGCTAGAGAAAAGAGAGCATAGGATATGGAAATGATAGATAATCATACAGTTGAACACAAGATAGTAAAATTCAACCAATAAAACCAATATAATATAATCTTCCAAACAATTCAAGAAAAAGAAGTAATCCCTTTCACAGTGTATTTTTCTAATATAACATGAAAGACCTCTGGATGCTTTAATATGAACATAAAAGCACAGATTAAAAGCAGGATTGAGGTGTGAAGGCAGGAAAAAGCTGAATTATATGAAATGCTAGAATAAGTAAAATCTTTTTTCCCCTTACTGTGCCCAAGAACACGGATGGTTTCCTTTTGCAATTAGTGAGATCCATACTTACAAAGAAATTGTGATCTTGAATGCTTCTCTAATGGGACCATGTTATATAAATGATATATGATGTCATACCATGATATAAGAACAAAGTCAAATTCAGATTTGATGTAAGCAGTACCACTCTAGTGACTTTGCCATATTTGATTCAAGCTCAGCTGTGGATGGATTGTAGACCTGAATTCAAACCGTTTATTTCCAGAGAATAACAAAACTTTACTTTGATCATAATCAGAAGAATAAAGTTTTGTTGTCTAAGGACTTCAAACAGTTATTTCTTCGTGCACAGTAAACACTGAACTGTCAATTCAGTTGGGCATTTTCATGGAAATAACTGAACTTCTGCTACTGGTTCAATTTTTGTTAATTGTATGTTTGATAATCAAATCTTTAAAAATCTCTACTCTGTGGTACTTGTGAGCTGAAAATTCACTTAAATCTATTCAAAATTCACTTGATTTCTGACCTGGAGCTTATTCTCATTATTCTAACCAGCCTTTACATCGAGACTTCAGTTTCAGTTTCTCATATTTACTGCGTTGATTCACAAGCCTGTAAACTAATCACTAGAAGCCTCACCTGTTTAAACACTTATTTCCACAAATCTAAATATTTATCATCAGCACACAGTTAAGCATTTTGCGGCCAGAGTAAAACACAGTTTATTTTGCTAGCTTTCCTGTACACAGTGTAGTGTAAGTAAGAGACCGGAATGGTAGAAAGAGGAAAGCAGAGCAGTGGCTTTAGTTTTAGGGTGCAAATTTGAGTTAAAATATGCCAAATCAGGATAGCATGTTAAATTCAAGGCAAAGTAAAATGTTGATTTTTGTAACTATGTTTTGGGTGACAGTTGTCTGTTTGATTTGAAGAAAATGTGACTAGAGAACAAAAGAAACTTTTTCCTTTAAACAAGCTACCAGATAAATAATATTGGTTCTGTTTTCAAAATTGCTAGTCTTATGTTTTCCAAAAAACAAACAATGCCCCCCTCCCAACCACAAAAAAACACCTTAAAAATTTTTAACTCTTCCCAAATTCTGGCAGCATTTGTTTTTTTGAAGTATCACTGACCATTTGAACTGTTAATTCAAAAATATTTCTATGAAATGCTGTTTTTTCCTTCCCTACTTTTATAATGGAAGAACTTAAACACCATGTATTCAAATAGGACACTGCTGTCTTTTACTTTTAACAAAACCACTTGAATTGCAGCATTCTCGGTTAACAAGAGCAACTAGTCTGTAGATGCACATCAGACACTCCCTTTTTAATAAATAGTTAGGTCAGTGCATTCCCTAAAATGCTTTAGTCTTGCTTCATCGAGAGTAGCTTGCGGTTATTCTTGGAAACTTTCTGTGTTTTTAATCACACACTGGAATTTTGTGATCAGTAGGCTGACGTCCATCAGTTACTGCTCACTTGTTTTTATAATTAGGACATGTACGCATCTCACTGCCCTGTAACCCTGACCATTATCTCTCCCTCCTCCCATTCCCCTGCTCCCTTGCCTGTACATGCTGTTATAGACTAAATTCAACTGATATCTTTTCAGAGACCTCCAGAAAGATGCAATACCATAACATGCTGAGTATTAGTGATCAGGGTTTGTAGACATTATTATAATAGAGATAAATAACTTTTATAAAAATTTGTAAAAGCCATAGAGCTTGTTTCTCAGTATAACTGCCTCCAAGTTGCCTCTTGGCTAGTTGGGATTTTTAGGAATGGAGATATGTTTAGGGATTAGATGATCCTGGGCATGCCATGATTCATTCTGGTACAATCGCTGCAGATCTGTGCTGCCCACCTGCGTGGTTAGTTGGCCAAATAAGACACGTACCTCTCTGTAGTGTCCTGACTGGTCAGCAGTTTCACCGAGATGTGAGTGTTCCAAGAAATATGAAAGGCTTTGACTGCAAAGCCTGAGCCTGTCCTGGTCAAGGTAAAGCTATCCAAATCCTCCTGGGCTACTACAGGTAATGATTTGGCCATTTCTTGATGGTTGGCTTGGGGGAAAAAAATGGTAGAAAAGAAAAAAGGTTTTAAGGACTACTTTTTGACACTACTACCAAAGCATAGCAAAGTTGCATCACCCCTTATTACCCAAATAACTATTACCCTAATCCAACAGGCTTCCTTTTACCACTCTGTCAAACTTTCCTTATAAAGGCAGGAAAAACACACTAATTGCAAAGGAGTGTCTGGACCATAACTTGCCATCTGAGACTGCAAGGTGCTAATTAATTGTTCATTATTATTTCCATCTGATGACTTTGAAGTGCGGGGCCATTATTTATAATACAAAATGTGATTTTAAAGTGACACAGAACCATGTGGCAACAAACTAGTATCTTACAGTTACATGCTAGACAAATACTGTTTCCCTGCTTCTCATGAAAAAAGGCAATTCAGTAACTCACATAAGTCACTTCTGCATCATTCTTGCATATCTTCTTTAATACAAGATCACATGTCAACGCAAAAGCAAGGTAGAAGACATTTCTTGTCTCTATAAGCTGTCAGAACTCTGCTAAATGGATCTGTGTCTTAGTAGCAGCCACCAACTTAGCCAATACTCTCTCTATACTGTAACTCTCTAGGGCCATCTGAATGTTTCAGACACATTGTCTGGCAATGCACATGAGTTAAAGATAACCTCTGCAAAGCATCACTGTGTTACTACATGATTTACATTTTTAATGACATCTGTGAAGATACACTAGACTAGAGAATAACGAAAAGACCATGGTGAAAGAGGAAAATGAGGAAGCAAATTAAAAAGATGGGATAAAACCAGTGGTAGGAATTACTGCAAGATCAGTGGTCAGTGAGTCAGAAGAACTTGGACCGGAATACTCCCTTCAGGGTCCAGTAGACCAGGGTTAGCAAAGAAGACACGGGAAAATGAAGTAACAGGGCCAAAAAATTGAAGTAACCAGTGAGGTTTGTTGAATATGTTTTACCCTTCTAGCAGATGGGCTCTACACAAAGAGCTCCTGGATTACAGAAGGCCTGAATTTTTTTGGACTTTGAGCAGATCACTTGTTCCCCATGAGTAAAGTAGAAAAAAACCCCAACTGAAGATAAATTAGCCTATGATCATGGCTGAATTACTTCTAGTTCATGAACAACTTACTTTCGGTTAATCTCAGTATCCATGATGTGCCATGCAGGCACATTCATGATCACAGCTTTGCATGTAACCACAATCAAAATGCAACCAAAAATTCAGCAGCAAATTTACTGGTTCAGCTTTGGCAATACTTGATTTTGATGAGAAAGCACAGTTGAAGTTTTTGTTTTGGTTAGATTACTGTAGTTTGAAAGCAATAGCTGCCTGAGGTGCCTCACTTAGATTTTCCTTAATGAATAAATACAATATGGTATGACGCTGACAGACAGGTTAAAATTTTCATATAATTTGAAAAGATTGCTCTGAATGATGATAAATGTCCAAATGAGCCATTTATCCTTTAAAGTTGCAAAGACAGACCATACCAATCTACAAATCCTAAATGTAAGGGAGGTAATCAGAAGGCTGGCAGGAGCAAAATTATGTCTCATTTATATTATATACTACAATAAATAATTAAAGTTGCCAAAATAATTTACTCAACTCCAAACACAGTACAAGGAAGATCAAAAAATGAATATTGGATCTAAACCATTGCTGAAAGTATCTGTTTCTATTTAAAATTGAATCAAGCAAAGCCATAACACTTTAAAAAACTTGCTAACTGGCTACTTAGATAAAAATAAAACCTAGCCATCAACTCCTATTTTGGATTTGCAAAACCTAATTTAACTAGATTATTTTCTAAAAACAAAACGAAAACCACTTCAATCTCTTCTTTGCTACAAACCTTGACATGCCAAGTGCCATTTACCCTGTGTCTGAGTTTGTGCATTTGTCTTCACACCTAGATTTAGAGTGATTTGCTGATAATCTCCAAAAGAGTTTAACCCTAAAATGAGAGTTTTTAATCTATCCAGGGTGCTACCCAGATTCCTAAAGTAGTTGCAGAGACTAATTATGGAATATGTGACTACCGTGGAATTACAGATAACAAAGTCTCTCACTACCCTTTAGATTGCCAGTTTGGTACCAAAGCCATTTTTTAAAAATAGTTCGCTATTCTAAATGCTTTTTCTCCTAGATTCTTTTAAAAAACTCAACTATCAAACCACAAACCCAAAATTTCTTAGGTAACCTTTGTAATGAAGGGGTTTGTATTATTGTTTAGTAAGCCACTAAAAATCTCAGACAATTTTGTCATCCTCCACTAGTTGGGCAGGCAGGAAACTGCTATAAAACCATTCATTTCAAGTTTCTAATGTTTAAGGTAATTTTTTTAAAAAGTCAGTAAGAAAAATGTTTTTCTATGGATATGAGAGAAACTATACATTATGTTAATATTCAGATGTCTCAGTAAAAGAGATTAGAAGCAAAAATCAACTTACCTCTGGAAATATAGGCATAAAAACTGTGAAACAAGAGAGTGAAACTGCTGCAGATACAAAGTTCAAGTCAGCTTTGAACTGCATTCAAACACAGCTCCAGCTTTCCTGCCTGTGAGTCAGCTGCGTTGTTGATCTCTCCTTTTATTGGCTGCCTGCGAACATCTAAAATTTCCTGGTCGGATGTACCAACTGTAACTCTTTAGTGACTGCAGATGGGTTCTCATAGGCTGATTTGTTAAGTGCCTGTAATTAATGAGAGCAATTACAGAAAAAGAGGTTGGAAAGCGGCTTTTTCCACAATGAGGAATGCCAAGAGGGAAAGCTATATAACAGTGAAAACCACCATACTGGATATAGCCCAGATACGGAAGCATGTGTGCAGATTGTGCAGTTAACGCTTATCTCTTATAGATCAAGCCAACAGCACAAATATGAAATTCCTTTAACTTTTTAAGTGAAGTTGAACTTAAAACGGGATGAAAAATGCTGATTTTCTGCTTAGAGGGTAGGTAAGCATAGGGGTAACATTAGGTTGCAAAGAAGTAAGGATTAATTGGCTGCCAAGTAACCCACTGAAAAGGATGTAGGGGTTATGGTGGAATCTAAGTTGATCATAAGCCAAAAGCGTGCTCTCATCACAAGTGGGGAAAATTACATACTGGGCTACATTAGAAATGCAGGCAGCAAAGTGAGAGAAGTCATTATACCTGGCTACTCAGAAATGGTGAGGCTGCATCTGAAATGCTGTAGTTAACTTTAGGCCCCTCAGGTCAAAGAAAATGTTGAGAACCTGGAGAGGATGCAGTAAATTACTACCAAGATGGGCCCTTGAGCATGTATCTTACAAGGAGAGGCTGAGGGAGCCAGTCTTGTTTAGTCAGGTGAAGGAGGCTGGAGGAGGGGTACCATCTACGAGAAGCCTACAGCTAACAGAAGGTCAGTTATGAAGATAGAGCCAGATTTTTCTACATAGTGGCAGATAACCAGTGGCATGGGCAGGTGTCTGTACTTCAGCGGTTCAAGCCAGATGCTAGAAAAAGTGCTTTCACCATGTGGATAATGCAGTACTGGAATGGGACCCTCAGGTTGCAGAGTCTCTGTTCTTTAAGGTTTTCTAGACAAAGCCATGGCTAACCTGATCCAGCACTGCTGGTAGTCCTGCTTTGAGCAGGAGGCTGGGCTAGGAAATGCCAAAAGTCCAGACTATCTCTAATTTTGTGAAAAATCCATAATGTCTAATTGTGTTCTAGCTAGGCATATACATTCACACTGAAGGTTGATGGGGCTGCTGGATGCAGGGTGGGGAATCTAGGAGAAAGCAGTCATTTCAGTTGATCACATTTATTCAAAATTTCCACTCCCTGAAGACTGTCTTTATTTATAGAGCCTGACTTTAAAAACAGTGTTAGTCAATGAGACTGTCCACAGACTTCTGTTGGTTTTGGAGCAAATCCTAACCCCCCAGCAGGGAGGGGACAAGCAGCAGAGCAGTTACCTAATCCTCCTATGATGACGGGAAAGTCCCTTATATCTAAAAATCATGTGGCTAGGGCTCCACGGCCTGAGAGGAAGCACGCTACAAGTAGGAAGTGTGGAGTACGCCTTCATGTACAATGCCTTGTTTCCTGACTGCCGTAGCTATCTGACCAGCATCAGCTTTCTCTGCCTGGCACACCCCTCCAAAAGTGAAATTAGTATGAGGGAGCTGAAGTAGCAAGGTAAAACAAGTGGGTTGTAACAGTCCTGGAGAAGGCTGGAAGCATGTCAAGTTGCTGTGGTCATACGATTCTCCTCCCCTCAGCTTTCATTTATCAACACCACATTCCTTTGTGTCCGTAGTCTACACTTCTGTAAAAAGTACATTAAAAGTATTTTCCCCTGTTTAAGGTATTAGCCTGCTAGGCTCAGACTGTACTGCAGCAGAATCACAGCTGTTCAAAATCCTTACATCTAATTAAGGAAACTTCTTAGGAGGAGTTTTGTAGACAGTTTGAAGGACTTGATTTTGCAGAAACTCTTTGACACTTAAAGCAGCCATAGGTACTGCTTTATTTTTGGAATATCATGTGCTGGGGAAGCAGAGTACTAGAACAAACCTGCATTTGTTTACTCTTTTTGACTATTGTTTGCAGCTTAAAAAAACCCTCACTATAAAACTATAAATCTTAATTTTAATCCATATTTGGAGAAACCAGAAATATGCAGGCCAATTTGCAGTGCATGTCTGAACTAATTAATCATCATCATTACTGAACATGTTAATTACAAAGAAACAGTATTTTACCTACACTTAATTTATCCAGAGAAATTTAAAGCCTCTCACATAATATGAAAGCTTATAAATAAAGGGCAAGGAAAAACCTTTATAGGCTCACACAAGGGCTGTCTTGTGCAGTAATTATGCAAATTTAAGCAAACTAAAGTTTGACTGTCAGTAGTTTGTGGTTTTGGTTTGATGGTGGTGTTGTGGGTGGGTGGTGGTTTTTTTTTTTTTTTTTTGTTTGCTTGTTAATTATGGAAAATACTTGAAA